TCTTTGTTGCTGCTGGCAGGCTCAATAGTTGCAGCACATGGGCTCTCTAGTTTGTAGTGTGTGGGCTTAGCTGCTCTGTGGCATGTGAGATCGTAGTTACTGGGATTGAACCCATGTCCACTGCATTGCAAGGTGGATTCTTAACCACTGAACCACCAGGGAAGTCTCCAGAAGAAAGTTTTAGTATAAAGATACAGGATAAAGGTGAAAGTTCAGGAAAAATGTGTAATGAAATCACAAATAAGAAAAAGTGCTTGGTTTCAGTGTAGGTATGGAGGCTTTTGGATGGTCTCTTATTACTTAAAGTTCCATGTAGTCAGGAGTTTTCTGGTGTTCTCAGGTTTTGGGCTTAAATCTCCTGCCTCTGGATTTCAGTTTTATTCTTCCAGTAGTCTCAAGACTTCTCCAACTATACAGCACTGATAATAAAACTTCTAGGTTAATGGTGAAAAGATTCTCCCCCGTGAGGGACACTCAGAGAGGTTCACAGAGTTACATGAAGAAGAGGAGAGGGAGGAGGGAGATAGAGAAGAGCAGGAGGAGAAAAAGGGGGATTCAAGAGCAGAGAGACAGATCTACGCAGTTGTCTGTTCCCAGAGTGTTCTCCGTAGCCCAGACACCCACAAAGATTCACAGAATTGGATTGGGAAGAGAAGGGGAAAGGAGGAAATAGAGGTGTTCTGAGGTAGAAAACGGAGAGTCAAGATTGGTAGAGAGTAATCAATACACTCCTGAATAAAAATGGGAACTGAATATTGGAGTCTTAAATGTCCACAATTTATATCATATACTGAAAAACAAAGATTAAAAATCTAGAGTAGAGGTTAGACTCTTAAAAATACAATATTAAAAACCAAAACACACACACACAAAATTTTAGAAATATATATGAAGTTCAGTTTAAAAATAGGGCTTCTCTTTTTATTTGTAAGGTTATAGTGTAATGAAAATGAAAATTAAGGAGTAGTAGAGGAGTAATAGAGGACTTTAAAAGGAAATAAGAGAAAAGAAAAATAGAAAATAGAAGAGAAAAAGAAAAAAAACAAGAAAAAAAATTTTCCTAATTAAAAAAATCATAAAAATCTATAAAAATGAAAGTTAAGGAGTAATGGGGGAGTAATAGGGAATTTTAAAAGAAAATAAAAGAGAAAAAAGAGAAAAGAAAAAAAATTTTTTTTTTTTTTTTTACAAAAAAAAAACAAAAGTAAAAATATATCTAGGAATTTCTCTGGAGCTGTTGTGGTCAGTGTGGGTTCGGTTCAGTTTCAGATAGCGCCTCGTTCCAGCTTATACTTCTCGATATCTACAGGCCCCTTCCGGTGTAGTCGGTGTTCTCTAAAGCTGGTTTTTTGAAAAAAATAAACAAAATTGACAAACCATTAGCAAGACTCATTAAGAAACAAAGAGAGAAGAGCCAAATTAACAAAATTAGAAACGAAAATGGAGAGATCAAAACAGACAACACTGAAATACAAAGGATCATAAGAGACTACTACCAGCAGCTCTATGCCAATAAAATGGATACCTTGGAAGAAATGGACAAATTCTTAGAAAAGTGTAACTTTCCAAAACTGAACCAGGAAGAAATAGAAGATCTTAACAGAGCCATCACAAGCATGGAAATTAAAACTGTAATCAGAAATCTTCCAGCAAACAAAAGCCCAGGACCAGATGCCTTGACAGCTGAATTCTACCAAAAATTTAGAGAAGAGCTAACACCTATCTTACTCAAACTCTTCCAGAAAATTGCAGAAGAAGGTAAACTTCCAAACTCATTCTATGAGGCCACCATCACCCTAATTCCAAAACCAGA